GCCACTGAAGCTGTGTTTGGTCTGCTGGCACTCGGGGCCGTCAAACATGGGCGGACACTTGCACCTGAGACACACAACGAAAAATTACTTTATCATTATTACCAGTGTCTGAGACACTGATAGTCCTGCTGGTGGACACTTCATTATAAAGGCATTCAACCCCACTGAATTCACTTCAAAATGTTAGTTAACATGCGTATCTACAATACCAGTATTTAATAGCACTGGTTTGATACATTGAGACTGAATTGGTCAGTCCATTATTTTAAAAATTACCTGAAGTTCTCCCAAATGCTGCAGGAGCATTAAAAAGCTACAAACAGTATTGAATTTAAATATGATACAATCAGGGCCAGATTCATTTTACAATTCTGAGGTTGCAAATTCAAATCCTCAATAAACTACTTTAGAATGTTTTCATCCATTCATGCAACAGTTCAAGTTCCATCTATTTTATCACCGTAAATGATTTTACAAAGATGATTTCTCCCCTTGGTCAACATAGAAACTCTAAATTCCTTTGTTATATTAAAATGTTTATGTCTAGAAATTTTAAAATGCAAAGACAATTTGTTCACAAAATTTATGGATCTTCTTTGAAACATGTCTAACTGTGCAAAACAAACTCCTCATCACGTCATTAACGGCCTGAAATTCCCAGACAGAGCACAGAGCCTTGATGCAGCTATGACCCTAATCACTATCTGCATTATCTGTAATAGTACATCAGGTGCAGTGGAAGCAGCTTCTTTACTGACCTGCCAATGTTGATTAAAGTGAAAAGAGACAGATCAACAGAAGGAAAGACAAACCAAGCCAACAAAAGTACTCACAGTTCATTATAGCACTGCACAAACTATGACCAAACCATGTGTATTGCATAAAGAAGAGTTTAATTTGAAGAGAGACTCGTCTTGGCAGCACTACAGCAGAAGACTGGAGTCAACCAGACCACGACAGAACTGGTTACAGTGGCTCTCCCTGCACTGACCTGTATCCCAGTGGTCCATCCTGGCAGGTGCCCCCGTTAAGACAGGGGCTGGTGGGGTAGGCAGAGCAGGGCAGATGGATGGCCTCTCGGCCTCTGCAGCCACATCGTGCTGTTGTCGAGGTTGCCAGTGACACCAGAGAGGTGTTACTAGAGCTGAGAGGCACCGGGGCCTGGCTGAACGAGACCTCGGTGCTGCAGCCTCCAGACTGACTGCAGTCTGTGTGGGGACAGTCATCGATCCCCACCTGAGAGATGGACACGCCCAGCACTGCCTCCACCTGCAGAAGGGGAGAGAGAAGAGATAACAGACAAACGCATTCATTAAACTGAACATAAAAGTAAGAGGTAAAGAATGTTTCTGTACCAAACCAACACTAGTTTAGAACTAAATCTGTAGTTTACAAACAAACTCTTAGCACAAAGCTAACCACGCTAAAGCTAGCACGAGACTAAAACTAAAAGGAAAGTAAACCGGTAGTGGAAAGTAGCTAAGTAAATTTACTCAAGTATTGTACTGGTTACAATTTTGAGCTACGTGTATTTACAATTTGAGTATTTCCATGTTCTGCTACTTCACACTTCAGATACCAACCTTGTACTTTTTACTGCACTATGAGTATCTGATAAGTTCAGTTCCTTTTCAGAATCAGATGAATCAAACCAAACCCAGTAGAATCATCAGACTCTATTGATCCCTGGTGGGAAATCATTGTGTTTCTTGAATTTTCAAAAAACCATCTGACGCTATCATGCATAATCCCATCAGGCCTTGCTTCCACAACCACATCTCCCTGGAGTTCCTGGCTGAATCTGCCAATGGGCTGCTCCTCTACAACGGGCCCCTTGGCTCCGCCCACCCAGGCGAGCCGGAGGATTTCATCGCCATAGGTGAGTTCACTGCTGAAGTGAACCGCCATAGGTGAGTTCACTGCTGAAGTGCCAGTGAGCAATGTGCTCATTCAGGAGGAGCTAATATGTCGTAAAATGCTGTCTCACAAACTTTTTAGTGTACAGTTACACAGCATGAGTATGTGTTGTACTGTCTACTACAACACCGAAAATGTTGTGATTTACCAGCCTGTTGCAGAAATACTGACTAAACAACACTTTTCTAAACATACAGAGTGAGCTACATGAGCTCTTACTGAGAAATTCCAGGAATTTTGGAAATTTGCATTGTTAAAAATGTTAATGGGAAACACAAAGAGCAAATCAGTCCTCTGCTGTAAAGTCAGAGAGCCTCATTAAGCCTGATGCCAGCCCCCGTGGTCCTGCTGATGGCCTATTGAACACTTCCTGCATAATCTGGTGCAATTAAAATTATGTAATTATTGAACCTGAGCTGGTGCTGTGTGGGTCAGTGGAGGGGAAAATCAAAGATGGGTGCAACATTGATCATTCGGAAGCATTTGTCACTTACATGTTCACTAACATGGTTAACATGGTAAAGCCATTTGTTTTGCTTTGTTGAATGCTGGTGTCTTCAGCTGCATCTCAAATGTTTCATTCAGCAAACAGAGCTGGCTCCAATGTAGTGTGAACTTTTGGTCATGTCACGTTTAGGTCACATTTAGTTAATCTGTTGTTCATGTGACAACATCAGAGCCAGCTCTGGCAGGGCGTCACCTCAGGGTGCTCCATGAGATGCTGTTGAAAGCTTGGAATCACTGGTAAATAGATCGTTGGTCTGACATTGTCTTCATCATTTAAGGCTTCAAAGGTCAAGAATGAGCTTTGACAGTCCATGTACAGATTTTAAAACCAAACCAAAGGTCACAAATGACGGTCACTTATAATAAAAATGTTCCATTTACAAGTCACTGAGGACCCAGATTTATTTTCCAACTTGCTTTACTGGTGTTCGTGATAGCTGGAGGTTTACAGGCTGAAAATAGCCCAAATGAAGCTGGAGAAGGTTTAAAATTTAAGTGTGGTTTCAATGTGAACAGGAAGATAGAAAACTCTGAATCTCATCTTCCCTTCCAGAGCTGAGGAATGGGGTTCCGGCTCTGAGTGTAAACCACGGATCAGGAACCCTGACGTTGCAGCTCCCTCCCAAATCCACTGTCAGCAGCCGGCATTGGCATCGCCTCGACATCATCAGTGATGGAAAGGTCAGAGAAATGGATGCACAGCGGTGGACTTACAGATGGATATCTGACTGACTTGTGGATGCAGAAATCTTGCCTAAAGTGCATTTTTAATAACATTATAGTTAGTCTGAGTAGCCCTCACTCTGTCTGGCAGTAATCAATAAACGTTGCTGACAGAGTTGTGTGTCTTTGCGTGTTCAGGCCGTGCAGCTGATTCTGGACCAGTGTGGGGGGGCGGTGGTGACCGAGCTGGAGGGTGTTAGGAATGAAACTCAGGATGTGGATGAGTCCAGCTGCAGAGCTGCAGGAGAGACCCCCGGGAGCCAGAGGTCTTCTTGTTCTTTCTCCTCCTGTTCTCCTGCTCACCTGTCTCTGTCATTCATTTGTCTTCTGCTCTTGAACGCCCCTTGTTCTCCTTTTCTTCCTCCTCTTCCTACCCACCTCTGCCTCCTCTTCTCTGTTTTTCTTTTTTCAACTTCTGCCATTTCCCCCTCTTCACAACTTTCATGTTTTTCCATTTTCCCCTTTCTACATTTTTTACCTCTACTCCTTGTCCTCCTTTTCTTTATTCTTCTGCTCCCTCTTTCTCTACCCCTCTTCTTTTCCTTTATTGTCACTCGTTCTTATCCTCCTTGCCTTGTGGTTTTCTCCTCCTCACTAATTTTTTTACTGTTCTTGTCTTTTTTTTCTCCAAATTTTCCAACCTTTCCGTCTCTTCCTTCCTGTCCTCTCATTCCATATTTTATTCTCACCTACCTTTTCCTGTCCTGCTCTTCCTTATCCTCTGCTTCACTTCTTCATCCTACTCTTTTGCACTTATACTCCTCATGTTAATCTTCTCCTCCAATCCCTCTCTTAATTCTCCTCTTCTCTGACTTCTTCCTCTCTCCTCCTCCTCTTCTTCAGTTATCTGAATGTGTACCAGCCTCTTCAGTTGGGAGGAGTGAAAGAAGTGTCCCCTCACCAACATTATCGCAATTTCACCGGCTGCATCCGTAACCTGGTGGTTGACAGTCAGGTAACACCCCTGTGTGTGTGTGTGTGTGTGTGTGTGTGTGTGTGTGTGTGTGATCATTGGTGTGGTCTGTCTCTAATTCCACTTTTAATGTTTGTGCATGTATGTATACACTCTTCCTCCTCTCAAATCCTTGGAGGATTGTTTGTGTTTGTGTGCATCATACCATGCTTTTATATTACTTACATTATGGGGACCAAAACGTGTTAACCCAGTCACATTGTGGGGACCAGCTTCTGGTCCCCACAAGGATGAATCACTGAATTTTAGGATGGCAATATGATTTAAGGTTAAGTGTTAGGCAAGTAGTTGTTATGGTTAAAGTTAGGATAAGTCTACAGGAAATGAATGTAAGTCAATGTAAAGTCCCAACAAGGAATGAAAACGTGTGTGTGTCTGTACTGGGAGGAGAGTGGTCGAACAGATGGTGGTATGAGCTTGGCTCATCAGCCAAGGCCAACATCACAACATCACAGTCTAGAATGTAAAATAAATGAACAGAATCTTCTTCCTCCTGCAAAAGCCCAAGCTGCTGTTGTTCCATCGCTGCTCAGTGAAAACCTCAACAGCCTCCCAAAATCCCCAACTATTCCCTGAGAAAGAGCTCTAGGATCATGATTTCACCACAGCTCTGTCACAGTATGCTGCCTCCAAACGGGGGTCATATTTCCAGTGTGGCAGTACACGATATATTTGGTGTTAAAATCATGACGACACCATTGCTTATTTCCTTTTAAAAACGATGGATGGTTTTGTGTTTGCTGCTTTTCAGTGTCATGCTAGGAACAAGAAGGAACCTTCTTACTGTTACTTGGTGTCACCAGAGCTTTATTATCATGAACAGTCATGATCAAAGCTCAGGTGTGTTGACAATGCTTTCATGGCCGAACTATGGACAGCAGAGTTTGTAAGAAAACACCACAGTAGAGTAAATGTTCCATTTGACCATTCTGTAGCCTGACAGTGATGCGTGTTTGGTCCAGAGCAAACTACTGGCCACGTTCTCATGTAATTCACTGTGGACATTGGTGATTCCCAGAGGGTGAATCTGACATTCCCTCTGCCACCACCCTCAGGACAAAATCTCCATTTCCGCTCATGCTACAGGGAGAATGCTGTGAGCTTTAGAGAGCACACAGTTAGCTCCCTTTTCCATTAAAAAAAATCATTAGCTTTCACATCACATCACTAAATTTTTATGACAGAAGAAATCTGCTTTTAAAAGAGGACAAGAAAGAAAAGCTGTCCTCCACCATAACGTGTGCTCTGCAGTCAGAGGTGGCGTCCTGATTCCTCCACACATTCAAACCACATGTTGGAGTTCATGCATTCAGGGGGCTTGATATACCATCCCACACCTCTGCATAGCTGCCAACAGGAAACAATGGGCATGTTTAGAAGCTGAGTGCATGTCCACCTTAGCCTTCGTGCATTTCAGGCCCAAAGGAGGAAACTACACGATACCTCCCAACATACTGCCTGTGAATGCAGCCTGGATCACTGAGAGGTTGTGAAGAAGGTCATTTGATGATGATGATGGATACATTATAGGATTTGAAGAAAAACCAGATGATCATCTTTCCTTCTGGCTCTCAGGTATATGACCTGGCGTCTCCAGGTGAGAGCGTGGACAGCACACCAGGGTGTAGGCTGACAGACGGGGTGTGTGTGACGGCAGCTGGTCCCTCGTGTGGCGCTCACGCCTCCTGCCTCACTGACTGGGGCTCCTTCAGCTGCGAGTGCCACCCGGGGTACACTGGACACAAGTGTGACAGGGGTGAGATTTGTCTTCTTTATTAGTGCATCTTCACCCTGAAATATTCTTCTGGGATCATATGTGAATGGAAAACTACAGTCAATCTCAAGATTTCTTGAACTTTCCTTTAGGGCACCAGTTTCAAAAAAAGCTGTGAGACTTCCTGGCTGAGAGTGCAGTCTGTCAGTGGAAAATTATACACTATCCACACAGAGTCACCACAACTCTCTAGTGCCCTGTTGATTTTGCATACACTCACAGCCATCACTCAGTGCCGTGGCCAAAATGTAACCCAGGAATAGTTGGCTGCATTCAGACTGACATTAGCATTGCTTAACAAATGTCTGGTTTTCTAAGTTGTCAGTGAAGTAGACAGAGTTCCTGATGCGGAGCTGCTGGTTCGTTTCAACCCAGGGGTTTTGCCTTCATGTGTAAGAAATGGTTTAAATGTGCCTTCATGTGTCTCCTCCTTTCCCACCAGTTGTCCCAGAGTTCTCCTTCGACTCGGGAAGTGTTGTGCGTTTTCAGCTCAGAGGAGGCAGCAGCTCCAGACGCACCAACATCCAGCTGCTCCTCCGAACAAGGGCTGCCTCGGGCACTCTGCTGTCTGTGTCGTCCTGGGAGGCTGACGAATACATCATCCTGGAGGTCAGCACCTCTCACAGCGCATCAGTTAGTGTCCTTTGACTTCACACCAGATGTGGGTAATTTGGGCTCAATGTTCTGTGTATATGTCTTCTTCCTGCTGTCAGGTCAGGGAGGGCCACCTCTCTGTTCGTGCCAACCTTGGTGATGGTGCTCACACCCTGCGGCTCCCCGGCCAACGGCTGGACATCGGACAGTGGGTCCTGGTCAGCCTCAGTCGCCACGACAACCTGTTCACCCTGCGGCTGGAGCAGGGCGGGGGATCACGGGAGGCCCAGGCCCAACTGGGGAGCCGTAGGGAGATCGTGGTTCATCCAAGCAGTGTGATGGTCGGCAACGGACCAACCACTGGAGACAAGGCTGAGTTTCATGGTGAGATGTGGATCTGATCACTGTTCTGTTGATGCCCAAAAGCCTTTTTTTTAATCAGGAAATTTCTTAAGTGAATGAACTGCAACAGAAGCATGTAAGTGACCAATCATAAGAACAGAAATATTTAAATGCTTTGTCTTTTTGAGGATTCCTCTTTGCTCCAACACACAGTTTGTTTACAATGATTTTGTATCCTCGCGTTGGTCTACTTAAGACCCTTACACATTGCCTTTTTAAGGCGGGATTGGTGTGCAAATGTTGAACAATCACTGTGCAGATCTGTTGACACACTTCTCTCTATAACATTGTCCACAAGAAATTAATTTAGTAAAAAGTAAGTGCTGTCAGTTGTGTGTGTTTCCTGTCTTCCTTCAAATTTTGTCAGACATGTAGCTCTGGTGCATTTCATACCATATCAATGTTTCAAACTGTTACTGACAACAGGTGTTAAATACTCTAAAACTTTTTCATTGGCTTTATGCAGAACCTTTCATTAGATTTATGCAAAAAATGAGAAGTGGAAGGACGAACATGATTTGGCTCCTGCTGTGACAAAGTGTCCGTCCACCTGTCTGTCACACATAATGTCTCAGACTTAACTGAGACAAACCAGTGGGTACCAAAAACTAGTCTACCAGTGTCATCAACTGCCTTTTGCAGTCATATAACGTTCATCACATTTCTTTGTAGTACTAGTTGTAGTATTTTATAGTACATATAATCCCAGCACAACACATCTAGTGTGGATGTTTTCTCCTTCAGGCTGTCTGCGGGATGTTCGTTTTAATGGACAGGTCCTGCCTCTGGACGGGCAGACCCGGGGCTTGGTGACGGTGCTTGAGAGGCGGGGCGTCAGCTCAGGATGCTCCAGTAACGCCTGCAACAGCCAGCCCTGCCACAGCCCGTTGCGCTGCATCGACCTGTGGAGGAAACATCAGTGCAGGTAAAAGACACAAACTGTACAGATATCTCAAACAATAAAGCCTCCGTTGGGGGCAGCTGTGGCTCAGGAAGTAGAGCAGGTTGTCCCCTGACCATAGGCTCAATGGGTTGATCCCGGTTTCTCCAGTCTGTATGTTGACATGTCCTTGAGCAGAACAGTGAAGCCCAAGTTGCTTTCAGTGATATCACTTCTGTGAATGTGTGTACCAATGGGTGAATGGGAAATAGTGTAAAGCACTTTGAGTGCACTTCAATGCATAGAAACATACCACAAGTTCATTTACCACTAGTTTCCTTTTGTAAAAATGTTCAGATTTTGCTCTGATGTCATTGATTCATCTTGCTGTCTGTCACTGCACAGGTGTCCTGGTGGTCAGGTGACTGTGATGGACGACTCAGGTCAGCAGCATTGTGTGCCGTCGCCCTGTGGACCTTCTTCTTGCCTTAATGGAGGCTTATGCCAAGCGTTGTCACCTGATGGCTACCGGTGCCGGTGTCAGGAGGGGTTCAGGGGTCAGCACTGCGAGCTGGAACAGGTCAAAGGTCACCGGCTGGCTGCCCTCAGCCCCAGCTCCATCCTGGCCATCAGCATGTGTCTGCTGGTGTTTTTTGGTAAGCGAAAAGAGGATTGTTTACATGTAAAGAAAATAAAGTGAAGTAACCCCAGTTAGCGTTGCTAAGCTACACTGTTTTTATGTAAGAGCAGACACACCAAGCCGATGTGAAAAAAATCAGCAGCGATGAAGGTCGACTGTTGCATTGCTTCATGTCGCCTTTATCAGGTTGAAAAAGTGGCACTTTAACACACTACAGCAATAGCAAACTAGCACATACATACAGTATGTTCCTGACTCCTCCGACCAGCCGGTGTCAGTATCTGTAGTCACCATTCGGATGGGGAAAGAAAAAGAGCTAGAATAATAAAGCTATAAACAAAGCAGCTGCCATTTAACCACAACTGCTGTTTATAGCTCCTGATTGAGAATATGTCTGATAAGAAGTTGCAAATAACTCTGCCGTTCTTTGCCCTTGGTCTTTTGGTTGTGGAAGAAGAAAGGTTGCAGAGGTGAAAAACAAGGTGAAACTGCACTAAAATGGTGAAATCAAGCATACTACAGTGACAGACTGAAAGGGCTTCCCTGAACGGTTCTCTTCTCATGCACTGATTCACTAGCTTGAAAACCCAATCAGAGTGGGCTCACTCACCAATGAGGCCGACCAGCTGATGCAGATTCACATGTCGAATCGGCCGAAAAGCCTCCCACAGGGTCCAACTAGTACCAACAATGTGGGACACAATGGGAAGACAGCCCTGACAGATGCTCACGTACGGACAACCGTCGCCTTTGTGTGTCACAGCCCTAAAACATACTAAACACTGAAGGATCACTAAACCACACTAACTCAGCAAAACTTTAAAACAATAAAGTTCTTACTTTTACCTCCTGTATATCCAGGTAGGAAAACACACATGGAGCTAGTTGCTGACAGGAAGTGATGCTTGTTTTGTTTCCCTTTTATTTGGAGTACACAGAGGAATAACTGGCCAGTTATCACCAGCGGCAATCATTAAACAGGCTAAATGCAGAGCAACTGAAACAAACTTCAACAGTAAAAGCAAACGTGGATCAATTCTACAAACTCTAGAGAGGGATATGAACATGCACCACATTTATGGACTTCCTTTTAATATTTTAATGAACATATTTGTATTCCTGACCAGTGCCGACTATTGAAAAAAAAACTAAACAAAAAAACGCCAGCTTGTCACCAGAAGTGTTCTCAGAGTTGAGGATGAACGTCTCAGATGATCAGTTTATTGACACCAGCTCAGCTCTTTTGTCAAATCCACCTGACTTAAGAACCGCACAAACCACGTAACTGAATGTGATGTCAGACGTCTCCTCTGAAGACCCTTTGTTCTAAACTTGTGTAACAGTATGCTGTAGCGATCAATAGGTTTTTCATTAGTATTGATCAGTAACAGACAGATGCTGGTGAAGTAGAGATTTCAGTTATGAAAGGCTTATACAACAATCAGGTGCTGCCTATGTCATTTTAGGACATCAACATACAGTATAATAAATTCATATGACAGTTGGCTGCCTCTGCTCCCCGTCAGCGGGGTCAGGCTCAGGCTTGACTTCCCATCAGCCCTAATGAGGATGAACATGTTTCAGGGGAATTTGAAAGAAAAATTTCCTCAAAGTTCAACCTGGTAGCAATTCACAGTCAAGGATATTAAAGACTGGTTCTCCTCCTACTGAAGGGCTCATCTGTACTTCACCTGTTCGTGGTAATTAAACTAATGTTTCTGAATGACTGTTGTACTGATTTATTCAGGCTAAATTGCTCCACAGAGGTGCTTTAATGAGCTGCTTCAACGAATGTGCAGGAAGGGGGTGAAATCTGTCCCGGTGGTGCAGAAACACACTAAAAAATGCATGTTTAGACTGTCCTCTGTGTGTGTGTGTGTAGCGGTGCTGGTGGCAGTGACAGTGTGGAACCAGAAAGGCAGCCGAAACAAGTTCAGGAAGCAAGGAGTTT